AATCCGAATCCGAATCCGAATCCGATGGCTATTTTGAATTCCATCCGAATCCCAACAATTTTTGAATCCGAATCCGAATCCGAATCCGATTCTTAAAAAATTGTAAATCCGATCCGAATCCGAATCCGAATCCGATCGGATTCGGATCAGATCGGATTCGGATTATCGGATCCGACGCACAGCACTAGTGCCTGTACTCTGGAGGAGCGTTCTCATGGTTCAGTCAGCGTCAGACGTCAGTGGCAATTTCGACGAGGGAAGCAGAAGTCGTTGCGGCGAGCGAGGCGACACGGGAGACGGTCTGGTTAAAGCGTCTGCTGAAGGACATCAACGGGGTCAAGGTGATTCCAGAGCTGCGAGTGGACAATGAAGCGGCGATTCGACTAGCAGAGAATCTGGAGTACCACAAGCGAACTAAGCACATCCGTATCCGTCACTTTGTTGTGCCCGAGAAAGTGTGTGAAGGGAAGCTGGTAGTGAAACGTGTTGATACCGAGAACCAGCTTGCGGACCTGTTCACGAAGCCGATGCATAAGCCTCGTTTGATTAAGCTGTGCATTGACATGGGTGTTAAATGATGAACAGATTTTTGTTTAGCTGCGTGCGAGCGTGAACGTTTCTTTCAACGAGTTCGACTCGATGAGTATTCTCACCATATTTGTGACTTTCGAGTTTCACGAGTTTAGCTTTCCTGCATACGTTTGCATTGTTTTCAATTATACATGTTTTTTTATTCAATGCTTCCTCGGTTCAGCAAAATTAGTATTAGGGGAAGTGTTGAGTTTTGATATTCAGTGCTGCCATCTACTGTAGGTTGTAATACCTAATCTTACTGAATAGATAGTCTTCCTGTAGATATCTAACCTGTATGATACAGGCGGTATGTTCCGCTTCACTACACTAACCGCCTGTATGTGAGCTCAACCCTGGCGGTTCGCAAGCCTCGTTATCGATCGACCGGTTGTTATGGCGGGGAATCTGATTAGCGGCAAGCAATCGAGCGTACAGAAGTAAATACGGCAAAACTTCGCCCCAGGCGAATACCTGATGAATGGAAACAATCTAGTTAATGGTTTTGGCAGAAGCGTGCACTAATTGCAGTTATAAATTCAAGTTAAATAACTTGAGAAATGACGTCAGGCAAAAGCCTGCTCGCTGATTGGCTGATTGGCCCGTTACAGCTCTCTGATTGGGCGCGATGATTTCTTCATTCGCGAAGCGGGCTGAAGAAGCAAGGGGTACAGGCGGTTAGCGTAGTGCAGCGGAACCGGAACATACCGCCTGTATCATACAGGTTAGTAGCTCTAGACTCTAGTACTATAGCCCGTGTACAGCAAACTGTACGCGGGGTTCAAGGATAGAGAACATGGGTCCCAATAAAACCAATGTCATTTACATCAATATAATAGGTTAGGATTAGCGTTATCGTTAGGGTTAGGGTTAGGGTTAGGCACATTGGTTTTATTGGGACCCATGTTCTCTATCCTTGGGCCGTTAGGGCCAGGGTTAGAATTAGGGTTAGGGTTAGGCACATTGGTTTTATTGGGACCCATGTTCTCTATCCTTGGGCCCGACTGACTGTGTAAGTGTGTTGTTAACACGTTTTTGTCCTATTTTGATAAAACTTAACAACTCGATCGCTAAAATATGTTTACATAATGAAGAGGGGTGGCTTACCGTTCACGCAGTTCCCAAAAAGCCATGATGTGTTTATGGTTCTTTCGCCCAAGGAGCTAAATATAATAAAGGAGTTATATTTAGCTCCTTGCTTCGGCCGTGCGATGTAATGTTTTGATACAATCGAGGTGTCATAAATATTTAGGCCGCAGGAAAATTCGATATTCTGTAGTCTGTACTTGTAGTTGTACTGCTACTACTGGGATATTTTGCCCTTGGCATTTCGACATTTATTTGAAAACTAAAAATATGTGCAAGGAAATGTCGTAACCCGACAGGTTTACTTGCAATTAAAGCAAAAATTACGGGAATAAGCCATATAAGCATAAAATCATGTGTCATAGAGAAACAGGCAAGTGTAACCAATTTCGCCGATAGAGGTCGCGAACATTCAAAACCAAAGGCGGTCGTGTGTTGTGTGTTTATGTAGAAGTTGAACGTGTGAGAATTCTGTTCAATCGTGATGACCACTCATACTATAATAGACAATAATGATGCACTTTCAATCAACAAAGGCATACGGGAACTTTTAGAGCACGCTGGTTTTGAGAGCTATCCTTTTAAGGTGATGACGAACTGGAAATATTGGCAGCCAGTAATACAATTTTCTTCGTCGACGACGAAGAAGTTTTAGTTTTAGTTTTATCTCTGCCACTGTGCCAGTAGCTCTAGTAGTAGTAATATAGCCTGCGGCAACTGTACGCGGGCTATAGTACTAGAGCTACTCTGCCAGCAGTCTTTGCCAAAGATCATGAAAGATCCCAGTGTAGGCCCTTCGCTCCCACTGCTGCACTGGGCTATGACGTGCTGTGATGTACTGTTCTGTACTGTGGCTGCGGTATTGTCGCTGACGTTTGCTCATGCTCACCTTAAACATGTGGTCGTGGTGGACGATGTAACCCGCGGCAACGCCTACGTAGGCGAGGCTGAGGTAGACGACGCGCGCCGCGTACGGACCCTTCGTGAACATGTAGGCGATCGCGAACGCCATCATGCGGATCGAGTACAGGTAGAGCACCATGACGCCCAGGTAGAGGCCGAAGCTCGCTGCGTCGCGCTTGTAGTTCGACAGCCAGTATGCGGGGATGCAATAGGTGAGCGCCGTGAGCACGAACGGACAGAGGTCGAGCAGCAGCTGCGAGCGAAGAACAAAAGGACACGTCCAATTTTGGAAACGTAGAATCGGAGGAGGAACCCTCGCTCGTACGTATTCATGAGGGAGCAGCAAAGATTAGGATTTAATAAAAAAGATATAATAGATATAAATAAAAAAAGATTACTATATGCAGTCTTTGTTCATCCATTATGCATCGAATGGTTTCTTAATCACGAGAAAAATATTGCGTTAGAGGCGTGAGCTTCACCACATTCACTGCTGCACTTAAGAAATCGTCACAAAGTGGGGAAAATGTAGGAACAAAGCAAGAGCCACTGACGAACACAAGGTAACAGACGCAAACTAATCTAGGACAATTTTAATCTAATGGTGCACCTTAGCACAGTAATATGGTACTGTGTGGAACATCTTGAGCTTTTGTCCAGCATACAAGCCTGGTCTCTCCTCATCAACTGAAACGAGAAATCGTCACATTCATTGATACTATTATCTATTGATCTATCATGAGCTATCGTCACCCCCTATACATATTCATACTGGAAGTGTCACATTCCCCTCATCTTGCATTCTGCAACACAATGACTGTAATCTACTACCAGCTAGACTTCGCCGCCATGCTATGACTTTTGGTATTCTCCTTCAGAAATAACACTGTTGATGCTATTTTTAACAAGCATAAACTGAACCCTTCCCCCATAGTATTAGGTGACCCCAATGCATTTTCGCAATGTGCGACATGTGCAAATGTGGACAGCTGTTCTATCCTTGGGCTGATAGAGCTACTTCGTCCTTTACCTTTACTTGGGGAAGGGATTCACACAGGAGGTTCTGAAACCCCTACGCACCACATGTCAAGTGCTTCACAATCGTTAACAGTCTTACACGTTACAGCCCTACCTGTAGACCATCCGCTCTGCTTGTTATAGCCGAATTATCCCCCCCCCCACACACACACTGATCAGTGAACCATTTTACGTAGCGTTGTGTTAATGGAAAGCAGAAAGGCTTATGCATGAATGCCTAGCATGGAGTGGCACTAGCAATGGACCCAGTGTGCCTTTGTCACGTTCGTGGCATGCTTGTAGTGTCATTTTGAGCAGTTGTACGTATGGCTGTTGCCAGATGTCTCTTGCAAGATGTCATTTCTCGTACAAAAGATGTTTAAAAATATGTAGGTGTGATGGCACCACTGGCACTGACAAAAGTCAACCCCCTTCTGGCTCTCCAAATTAAAATTTTAGTTGACCAGGAGATTGGACAACTCGAGCCACTGCTTGTGTGATTGAATTCACTATTTAATGCATTACTGTGTATTAATGACTAGGCACAGTGATATGACAAACCCCCTACCGTTCTAAACATTAGTTCTTATACTACAATTGTATTTGTTATGGTTTTTTCTGTTGTGTTATGTTGTGTTTTAATAGTCATGAAATGTTTTTTATATAGGTTTCTTGGTACAATAAATCGGTAGAACCAGTGTTCCACCTTGGCTATCATGGAGATACTTTGGCATTCATTATCATCAGCACACCCAATATGTATGAAAATGCATTCAAGCCATTTGTCACCAGAAGTAAATGCCTAGGAGTAAGAGATCCAATTGATGAATGTGTTGCCCATCACTTCGACCAAGTAAAAAATGTAGGTGGCTATAGGTATTCAGTGTTATCATATCACTTAAGGCTTAAGCGTATGTTATATTGATATATTTTTGCATCAGGCCACAAAATACCTTTACCAGTTTTTAACCAATGACCAATTCCACCAAAAATGGCCCTACTGAATTTTTTTATTTAACCATACATTCAACAACTTTTTCATAGGTTGTGCTGTGGGGTGAAACCAGTCTTGCACTGATCTCCTAGTAGTTTTTAGGACACCTTCAAGGAAATTATATTTCTTTGATAGAGAGGTGATGATCAATGATACAGGGGATGTCCTCGGGAAATAGTGTTGAATAACTAATACAACGTTCTTAAATATGCCTTTCAGCTATTTTCTGGTGAGAAGATCACTTGTATTCACGACTTTGAGCTCACTCCAACAAGGCGACCTAAGATACTAGTGCAGACTGCCAGCCATATCGCAGGAGCTGCATATTACTATCAGAGGAATGATGTGAAAGAGCAGCCGACCAGATGGGATAAGAAATCGGTACAGTGCACAACTAGTTTATAAAACAGATTACCATCATGCTGGAACTAACGACTAATATAGTGCAGAAATATACAGGGCTATGATTGACCTATAATGTCAACATTGCATGTACACATAGTAATAAGTTAACAATAAGAAGCAATCTTTTAGAAGGCAAGACTAAAACATATATATTCGTCTTCGCGATAAAGCATGGCTCTAACGGCCATTGGGCTGTCATTGTATGCAGATAATCATACTGCACATTTGTGCATATTTTACAGAGGATATATGGAGTGTGCATTCATCCAAAGTGGGGTGGCTGGTTTGGTCTGCGTGGTGTTCTAATTTTTGACAATGTCCAGTGCCCTGAGCTGTCTCAAACAATCCCCCCGGATGTGGTTGACACAGATGCGAAAAAGATCGAACTGCTTGAACGGTTTAATAACAACTGGCAGGACTGGACTTTCCGGGATATAATTCCACCTGACGGCAGATATTCGGAGGAACAGAAGCTATACTTTGCAACAGCACCAGCTGAGAGGAAGAAACTTCTTGGAATCGAGGAATTATCCTAGACATGTGTAGGATGAGAAATGTTTTTATGTAGGTTATTTTATATTTAATATGAGAACCAGTTCTGTACTGTGTTAAGGAGGCATGTCGTTTATTTTTGTGCTATTGGGTCGTATTGATCATAAGCATTCGGTAAGTTAGGTGCTTTGGTTGCTCTGATAATCTTTGTTAAGGAAAGCTACCTTGCTGTTGTGGGTGAAGTAGTTAGCCTTACACCATGATTGCCCAAGGGCAAGGCCATGGTAGGACTACGGCAAATAGCATGTAGTACCTCTAGTCATATGTTCTGTCACAGATTTTTTGTTGGAGTTCTATGTGACTCTATTTGCTTACCATTTATCTCATACGAGTCATAGCAACTAGTATAAATTTCTGGTTGGACTAAAAGAACTTCTTCATGTTCCGACAACAGGGTAGCCAGCTGGTGGGAATACATATCTAATTTAAATGGCATGCAAATGAATACTTACAGAGTGAACTAATAGTAGCTTATGACTCAGGTACCATTAGGATTGTTTGAGGAATCCATTGATGAATTGGAATCTCCTAGAGGATGATGGTCTCTTAATAAATATCAAGAAAATGTGGGTGTGGTAGGTAAGGGGTCTATCCAATGCTGGAGGAAAATTAACAGTGGTTCTTAAATCTTGTTGGCTGTGACAAAAATTATAGTAGAAGACCTTGTATTTTTATTCTTGCACTTGCCACTATTGCTCTATAAGTAAAATACAAGGCAGTCACTGAAGATCATTAGCATAGTATAATCACTTGGCAATGCAGGTGTTAAAAATCACTGAAATCTCACCCTGGAATTTGATTTGCAAAATATAATAAAAATGGTTATGGCTAATCATTACAAATGTGTATTGTATTTTCATATCAAGTTAAAACTACAGAATTGAAGTACCAACAAAAATAATTGGCCACACCCATAAAAGCAAGCATATTCTTGTTAAATATTTTAGCTAGGAGTTGTGGGGGTGTTTCAACACCTGAAAAATATGCATCCAGATCTAGGTAATAACAAGTATTACAAGTACATAAGATTTATGTAACATTTGGTGGTAAAACTACATATTATTTTACATTTACTCGTCGAGTTATTCTTAGTTATGTTGTGCATAACAATATGGTCTGTAAATACAATGGCAAAGACACATATTGCCACTGCATACATGAATATATTACCTTTGCATATTTTTTACATGACCCAAACTAATATGGATGTGAAGCATCAATATACTTTTGTCTAACTAGTTAGACTAGTGCAAGGCAACACTAGTTCATCTGTATACGAGTTGTAATACTAGTACAGGCCTCCTACACTAGTACACATTGGAGCATTTTTTCTATAATGTAGTTGGCATGACATTCATTCTCCCTTTTTGTTTTATCAAGTTACAGAATATAACAGCCTAAACGTGGAAAAACTCGATTATAAGGTAACTATTTTAGGGCAATTTCTAGGTATTACTATCATAATTACTGCGAAGAATATTCTTGAAATGCATCCTTATTGCGAGGTTATCTTTTATTAATAAAATTCTGATAATTGGCTTACTGTTAAAATTACAGCCAGATTCAAAACTCTCGAAAATAACATTTTTTTAAATATACAAATTGATCAAAGATTTGGAGGTTTATTGATAGTCGAGCCTTCCATTAATTCTACTTTGCTCTATGTGTTGATCATTAAAACCAGCAATTTTTTGCAATACAATAAACTTGTATGATATAATATGATTATTATTATTAGTTAATACTTATCTATCATAAGAAATTCGAATATGCCCTGCTACAACACCAGCACTGCTTTAGCACCTTTTGATTATGAAGACATCACATTTTTTTTTATATAAAACTATGTTAATTATATTTACACCCATTCACTGTTTTCTCTACACGTACATGCTAAACAGTCTGTCAATACTACAACCATGCAGGTTGCAGTAAAAATAATACAACATACTGACTGTAAAATTAATGCTAAATAACGTTTAACCAGACATATATGTTTGGCTTTTTTGGGAGCCCCACCCACTTAGTCAGTTACATTTATGTATACCAAGAACTAGTGGTTAACAAGATTTAAATATTGAAAAAATGGAACTAATCATAACCTATTCTCGGAATATTGTACCAGGTAAGGCTTTTACCTATGACGTTTACAGCCTGACTAAATGATTATATAGATTCATAGAACATAATATCAAGTATTTGAAACTAATATACAGTCAGTGTATATGAGAAAAAAATTGTAAGCAAATCTTGATAGGTCGTTGTCGCAGAAACTTGCATAACTCCTTACAATTCACATTGTAGATTCTCAACTACATGCTATTTATGCATGCCTACGTACACAACCATAACCACGCTTGAAAAATCATTAAAACGATTGTACTTCAAGTGTAAATTCGAATGAGCCCCTTAATAATTTCCGTGCATCTACCTCACCACAACACAGATCGCCACCTCGTCGACGGCAATTTTGGTCTTCTATGGAAAATTACCGGTTCACTTGTGCGGGTGCTGTTCGTAAAACTTCTCCTTGTTCGTCGGCTTCTGGCTGAAGATGCAGAGTATGAAGCAGCCGCCGATCATGAAGAGCAGCGCGAACGCGGCGATGATCACCCAGGGAATGTAGGTCGCGAAGACGACGTCTCTGCCGTGCCACACGAGCGCCTCGAGTCCCGTGTGCACCTGTCCCGGCGGCGTGTAGCAGGTGTTGTCCAGCACCTGGCGTGGGCGCGAGAAGGGCAAGGTGAACATGCTCATAATAGGCTTCATACACTTACACGTCATTGAGGCATTCACTGACAGACAGACAGAGGGAGAGGGCGGGGGAGAGGGAGAGGGAGAGGGAGAAAAAGAGAGAGAAAGAAAGGAGAGAGGAGAGAGCGCACGCGAGAGAGAAAGAGCGTGCATGCGTATGAAAGAGAGAGAGAGAGAGAGAGAGAGAGAGAACAAGCGTGCACGCGCGCGAGAGAGAGAGAGAGAAAGAGCGTGCATGCGTATGAGAGAGAGAGAGAAAGAGCGTGCACGCGTGCGAGAAAGAGAGATAGATAGATAGAGAGAGAGGGAGAGAGAGAGGAAGAGCAATATATATATATCTATATATATATAGAGAGAGAGAGAGAGAGAGAGAGAGAGAGAGAGAGAGAG